CGCGCGGCAGTGGACAGGCGCTGCTCGCCCAGGTGCACACTAGGTGCGCACGTTACGCACACGCCGCCTTCGCCCAGCGCCTAGTAACGCCGGGCCAGAAGGCTCGGCGCGTGGGAGCTCCGGGTTTGACTAGGAAGCTGGGGACCTGGGTTCTGCGGGCCGTTTCTGCGGCCACAGGCCCAGGCGGCTGAGCCCAGCGGACCGCTCCATTGAGAGTAGCTCGGAGGCGCGGGGGCACGCGTTGGCTTTGGCGCTGGCTCCGGCCTGGGTAGCCAGGAGTCCTAGACCTCGGTGTCTGCCGCGCAGAGCCCGGTCGACGGCGAGCCAGGGCCTCCGCAGTGCGCGGGCCCGGCACTCAGCCGGAGCCCTTTGCTGTGGTCTTCTGGCTGGGAGTCTTCAGAGGGCCTGTCCCGCACAGAGGTGCGCACGCACGCGGCGCCCTTCGCAGGGGCGTAGCCGCTCTCAGTTTCCTTCCTTCCGCTCACTCCACTCTCTAGTCGACTCCTACAAATCAGCCTTCCGTGGAGCAGCCCCAAACTCTAAGGAGGCCAGAGGTGATCCACAGACCCCGCCCAGGCCGGGCAGGGCAGCGAAGGCCCGGCCGGGAAGCATGGGTTCAGTGGCAGAGGCGGAAAAGTGCGCAGCGTGACCACCATTGTTCCAGGGGCAGTGGGCGCCAGCTTCCTTCCTTGACCACCTGGACTTCCCCGACCCGTTGTCTTCTTTCCCGATTCTAAGGCAGGCCTGAGGAGCACGGTCTGATCGGCCGTTGTGTTTGGGTTATTGCATATCTGGAAAAGTAAATAGGAGTGTTCAAGTCACTTGATTTGTTTTCTGTAAGCAAATAATACCCAAAAGCATGGCTGTAATTTACCGCGAATTAAAATTGATTCTTTTCATCAGGCAAGAAAATAGGAAAATGTGGGATCGTTAATTATTGAGGGAGGCGCTCCTCATTAAAGGGAACAATGTTACAATTCAGCATTTAATAGCAGGAATGTGAATAATAACGCACCATATTTCAGCCCAGTCTGCAAAGAAAAGAGAGCAGTTTACAAACAACCAGAGCAGCGGAAAGTTACATTTAACAAACACCAGAGGTTTCTGTAAGTGGAAGAAGCAATTAGAGCACCCGGCGGCGCACTACCCAGTACCTCTGCCAGCACTCGGTATACATTTTTATTCTCTCTCCGTCTTTGTCACTACAAAGGGTACACAGTGAATGCAGAAATACAATTAAAGAGAAAATCAGAACCGCAGCGCTAAGCTGCACAACTCCATGTGGAAGGCACTGCGGCCGGCTCCCACCTCGCGCCCCCCCAGTTCAGCCACACCACTTCCCCCAATCTTGCTCTGAAACGGCGGCGTGGCAAGGCAGGAGGAAAGACGCGGACTGTGTACTTGCTGTGTTTGTAATTTACATAATCAGTCATCAAGATTTTGGTTTTTTATAAAAATATGTCTCCCAGAAGGCCGGCCTCTCGCGCACAGCCAGCGGGTTTCAGGCTCTGTCTGGGCACCAGGCCTGCGGGAGCCGAGCCGGCTCCCGGCCTTTAAACGCTCTTTGTGCTTCGTTAAAAAGGAGAAGGGGGGCGGGAAGGAGAAAGAAAAAAAAATGACTTCCCTGCATCGCCCCTTGGCAGGCTCTTGTACAAAATTCAATCTCTATTTTTTATGAGAAGTAAACTGTCTAAATAAATTTTATTAGGGGCAACCAATATATTTTCTGGTAGTTCCCTTTGTTCCACTTCTACGTGTGTGTAACAATCTAAAACCTATTTATTGAGGAAAAATCACTGGATCCGTCATAGAAAATCCTTTTACTTTGCTGTGAAGTGATTTTTGAAGACATTCTTGTCATTCCGAAGATTTGGGGCCATCGCGCCAAAGCCTCGCCTTGTTAGGGACTTCAGTTCCCGTGATCATGTGGGAAATGCCTTAAATTATCAACAGCAATGGGCCTGACCGGCACTTTCCCGGCTGCCCCAGGAACGTGGGAAGAAGACAGGGAATAAAACTCGGGAAACGCAGCTCCTCTGCCCAGGTGGAGTCAGACGTTGGCAAGAGCGAGCTGCGGAGGGAGCCAGCGCGGGGGCGGCGTCCCGCACCCGGGTCGGGGTCGTTTTCCTCGCTTCCCGCGCCCTCCCCATGCGAGGCCACCCGCGCCAGCCGCCCCTCCCACGCGCGGATTCCTCTCTTCCTCTTCCTCCCTCCCCGCAACGCTTATGCCCCAAAGTCTTGGAAGAAATGATTTAGTTTGTTTATACTGCTATAAAAATCAAGACCAATAGAAAAGTCATAAAATGAAGCGGGCTATCAATCACGCCGCAACATTGTTATTCAGCGGTTACTAACAGAGATGGATAATCCTTTGATTTCGTCCCATTGTTATTACTTTGATATGTCTTCACATTAACTATTACACATTTATTTATCGACCTGAAACATACAACAAAACAGAATCTACCAGTGAGTGCGCGCGGAGGACGCAGCCCGGCTCCTCTGAGCGCTGCCTTGGGCGGGACACGCGGGCTCGTGGGTGTGCGCTCAGGTGCGGACCCGCGGCCCACGCCCCGCAGCGGCCCTGGCCCGACCTCTCCTCCCTGGGTCCCTTCGGGCTAGGTGTGGAGCCACTGCAGTGTGACCTCGGCGGGCCTGCCTTTTCGGGGAGCAGTTTGGGGCAGCGAGGTGCAGGCTCCCGGCCTCCCTATCACTCCTGAGCCACTCTCCCTATCTCTGCCCTGAGTTCGGCCAGAATTCCCCGAAAGCCCAGTTCGGGTGGGAAGAACCCCTGCGCGAGTTCCTGGACCAGCAAGGCCAGCTGTGCGCTTTGAGCTGGGTCTCCAGTGCCCGCCACTCCGCCCGGCTGCTGTCCAGCCTCCTCCTGCTGCAGGCTCCTGCGCTTGAGCGCCTAAAAGTGGTGCTTTATTGGGGAGGGTGCTTTTATTGGAGAGGCTTGTTTGCTTCAGGTCTTGGAATTCTTCCATCTACTCCAAGGTAGAACCTCTCTCAAAAGGGCACCAGGCTCCTGCCAAGTGCTCTGCAGCTCCCCCAAGCCCGATCCCACCTAGGCCGCACTGACACCCACACAGCCTCCCAGCCAGGCCCAGACTCTTCGGGATGCTGCCTCCACGGCTCCAAAGGAACCGTGTAGCAGATGTCTCCCCATTCACACATGTGTGTGCATGGGTGAGAGCGCTCACACGTGTGTGTGTGTGTGTGTGTGTAAGGGAGGCTGAAAGGGCTGCAAGAAGGAAGGAGGAAACAAAACTGCCTCCGAGTTCGCCTTGCTGCCTCCTTTGTCTCTTTGCTCATCCCTGTCACACACAGCTGAGGACACACACACATACACACACACACACACACACACACACACAATTCCTCTCGCATCTGCTCTCAGGCAGCATTTCCAATGTTTTGTGTAAGTCAATTGGACGGCGAACAAAAAAAGCCATTTGCTCGGTATTATTTAAAACAGACTTCATAGGGCCACCCTTTTGTGGAAGCTTTATTTGCACTAAATGAATAATCTTAATTGCATCACTCTCGAATTAAAAATCAATGTTAATCAAGTTGAGAGTAGTAAATATCAGTTTTCATTGTGCCTGGGTAGAGGGCATTTTTCTTGTGTTGCAAATAAAAATACAAGTCAAATAACTTTAAAAGAGCATTATGTTCTGCTACAAATACAATTGAAACGGATTGTTTAGGAGCAGATCAGAAATGGTACAGAATTTTGCACTTAATTTCCTCAGTTATCATTTACAATAAGAACCTCTGGGCTTGACAGCCAAGTCTAAACAGTAGTAAATTAGTACAAATTTATACTGATTTTACTCTAATAATCGTAATAAAAGCTTATAGATTTGGCACTAATTACATAAATGCCTAATGATCTTGAAAATTACTCTGGTTAGAAATATATTACTAATCTAAACTTTGTTGTTGGCTGGCTCTGAAAAATCAGAACATTAGAAATGGTTCGCTTCACTTGTGCAAAGCACTTTAAATTGTTCAAGTAGTATAACATATTCAAGAGGAAAATAAAGAGCATTTAACTTTATTTACAGCCTTAAGTGGAGTTGGGAGCCAAGCTGAACTTAGAAACTTTGACCACAAGAGCAGGTTAGGGGCCAGCCTGAGAGCGTGGGCCGGCGGAGGAGCGAATCCGAAAGGCAGCCTCGAGGGAAGGGTGCGGAGCGCAAGGACGCGCACTGAGCGCATCCCGCACCCACACCCGCAGTGCCGGGGAAGCCAGCTCCCCTTTGGGCCCTAGGCGGGCTGTGGGTTGGGGCTTTGTAGGCCCCAGGGCCCAGCCTGGGCGCCTGGATCCCTGGCGCGAGTCTGATAAGCAGCGGCTAAGTCTGGGAGCGTTATACAGGCCGCGGCGAGCCCCGGGAGGACCACAGCAGGCCAGTGTGGCCGAGGCGCGCGGGAGGGGCGACTCTTGGGTCATGCCGAGGTCACGCCCTGCTCTGGTCTCTGCCCCAGGCCTGCTCTTGGAAGAGTCCAGCTCTGGGAGTCGGAGCTGAGCCCGGGAAGCGGGCAGGGCAGGACCGGGGGAAGGCGAAGTGTGCCCTAGAGGAGCCCGGGGAGGCACTGACAGGCGCGCCCAGAGGGCTAGGCGGCACCGCTGCTCCTCTGCTCCGAGGCTGAGGCTGCCAGGGCTGCGGCCGCCGCCTCCTACGGGCGGGCAGGCGGGCGGGCGCGCGGGCGGGCGGAGTGGGGGACTCTCCGGGCGCTGACATTTGCAGGCTGCCCTCCTGATTGGTCCCCTCGCCAAGCTGCTCACGGGTTCATTCAACTGTTAAGCACCTCCCCGTCTCTCTAAAGGACATTATAATGCAAGAAGCCCCCTTTTTAACCACAAACCGAATTTTCTTTCATTTAGGTGATCTATATATATCTATATCGTATAGCTTATAGCTTATATCTATTTTAAATAACTTAAAGCCGCTAAAATTTGGGGGGGAACAGCTTTCGCCCTGGAGCGGTGCGCGATGCTGTCTCACGCCGACCTCCTGGACGCCAGGCTAGGTGAGTGCGCGCCTCGCGCCTGGGCAGCCAGGAGAAGCCTGGGCAGGAAATTGTCAATTTGTTCCTTATTTTACCTTAATGCACCCTAAATGGACTAATTTCTTTAAAAGTAATTGTGCTGTATTAAAGTTTAATTTGATTTAACATCGTCTTTAAAAAAATCTATGGAATATGTAGAACCGAAAAAAGGAGTTAGGGAATGTTGCTACTTTTTGTTTTTCTTATCCCACCCCCTTTAAGGTTTTTTTTTTTTTTTTTTTCTGAAAGGCGATCTGCCCTGTGATAATTTGTTTAGGGGTGTTTCCTTTTCTTTTCCTCTCCTGTTTGCTTTGGTTTGGGGTTTCTTTCTTCGCTTCTCGTTCTCTCACCTCACTACCTGCCTCCCTCCTCCTTGTCTAAGTAAGGTTGGATTTGTTTAAAAAACAATGTGGCGAGAAGGAGGAGCAGCTACCTCCGGGGCGGATTTGCTAAGCGTGCTGGTCGAGAAGGAGAAAAACAAAATTCGTCCTCACAAGCATCACTACCTTCTGCACTGGACTCAGCCTTTCCAATGGCTGAGCAGAGCGCGCCTTGTACTTCTTCTCAAGGAAAAGTTGAACCCTCTCAAGTTTGCCTTGCTGTTTTGTCCGTGGAGTTTACTGGAGTTTCTGTAATGCCAGCTGGGTTACTGGGCTCTGGGTTTCCGGTTTAGGAATCTTTGGTGATGGATGTGACTCCATTTCCCAAACACTTTCTCTGATTTGAGGGGGAGGCGGAGCTGATTTGGGTTGATTTCGGGGGGTGAAGGTTTGGAGACTTACTTATCTTCTAAGGTGAAAGGAAATCCGGCCGGTGGTAGAGTTCGGCAGACTGCCTCAATTCAGGTGCTGCCGCAGCCGAGGTTGCGTCTAATTCTCTTTCTATTCTCCCACCCCTCGGGTCTAAGGATTTGCTCTCGATTTCCGAGGGGCGTCAGGGATACAGGTTCTGAAAGGGCGTCGGAGTTACCTTTTATTGCTGGGCCTGAGAGTGTTTTATTGCAGGAGAAAAGAAAGCCTATGCTTATTTGCTACCCGAGCCAGCTGCGGAGAGAGGGGGAAAGGGCCAGGAGGTGTTGCTCCAGCCCGGCTGTGCGCCCTGGTAGTTTCGTCCCTGGGGCGCGAGTGGGCGCGGAGCCGAGGTTGAGGCTGCAGGAGGATTGCTCAGGGAAGACAGCATCTCAGTAACCATTGTGACCCCTTCCCTCCTCAGGTATGAAAGATGCAGCCGAGCTGCTGGGCCACCGGGAGGCGGTGAAGTGTAGGCTGGGCGTGGGGGGCTCAGACCCCGGGGGCCATCCAGGGGACCTGGCACCAAACTCGGACCCAGTCGAGGGAGCCACGCTGCTGCCCGGAGAGGACATCACCACCGTGGGCTCCACACCGGCTTCGCTGGCGGTGAGCGCCAAAGACCCGGACAAGCAGCCCGGTCCCCAGGGCGGCCCGAACCCCAGCCAAGCCGGCCAGCAGCAGGGCCAACAGAAGCAGAAGCGCCACCGGACGCGCTTCACCCCAGCACAGCTCAACGAGTTGGAGAGGAGCTTCGCCAAGACCCACTACCCCGACATCTTCATGCGCGAGGAGCTGGCGCTGCGCATCGGGCTGACCGAGTCCCGAGTGCAGGTACGCAGGGCGCTGGCCGGAGACGAAGGCGAGGAGCGGGTGGCAGGATTTGGGCAAAGGGAGCCAGGTATTTCCTTCCCCTCCCGGGAACCCGGGCTGCGCTCCGGCCACTTTTGCACACTTGGGTTGAGCTAGCTGCTTTTCTGCCCAGAAACTAGTCCCGATCACCATCCCCCAGTGACATGCAGGGCCCATCTCCCACCAGCGTAGCCACCACCCTGCCGACAGTCCTCACAGCCAAGCGCGCATTGTCACACGCTCACTGCTCTCCAGAGGCAACTCCGCTCCTGGGGCGGCTGGCCGGCTGGCGCGCGCCTCCCGCCAGCCCACAGTATCGACAAGTATTTTATGACGCTAATGAGCTCGTGTGAAGCTTTGGGGTAGAAGGGGGAATGCAACAATCGTACAGAAAACATGAGGAGAGGAAATGAGACGCGATGAGCACCTTAAAAAAAAAAAGCTACACTCGCATTTCGACGCGTGGCTTCATTTTCCTAAATATCATTCTCTCGCCACTCTCAGGCGAACTCTCCTCAGCTTTGATGTTCACAAGGGGTTTGCACCACCAGCGCGCCACAAATGGCCTGGAGAGCCTCCGCAGCTGTGAGCCCTGGAGTTTTTGTTTGTGCATTTAAAATTCTTTAGATCCTCCCAAGGAAACTGGGAGGGAGGGGTTGGGTGGAAAAATGAAGGCTTTCTGTTTTAGATATCGGACCCAAAGAACGAGCATTTAGGGTGGGAAAGGTTGACCGGTAGGGAGACAAGTTAGTATTAACCCCTTATTCTGAACCACCCTTCAAGTTGTAAATTATATACAGTATATTCACAGAATCATATCTACCATTTTTCTGAAAATTAAGGAATAAAATAATAAGCCTGATTAATTCAAGATTTACTTTACGCTCTCTAAAGAATGAAAACAGTATCAGATATTTTACAGGCAGGTGCCTGGAAGTGAAATTCTATGTGCACTTTGCTTTGAGCTATCCAGGGTGCTGAAAAAAACCTTCCTTCCCTGTCTTGGGATATATTGGTGTTTTCAGTCCCGCATCCTGGGTGTCAACCTCACTAGTTGCCACCTGCTTTTATAAAATAACGGTAAAGATCTCAGTTGCTTTACATTTGATCTAAAAAGTGAGCAACGAGGGTGTCCATAATCACAGCGTTAATATTTCCATTCTCACTTGGCATTTAAAAAATAATCTAAACAGGAAAAGTAGCACAGTCTTCTGTTTTAATAGTAAATGAATATCATTAAAGACTTAAAATAGTCAAATTAATAAAATAATATTCAGGGTAGAACATAGTGATTAATATTTTGATTCAATATAAATCTGGGTGGTTTTGTTAGTGAACTCTGAATGGTCGGAACCATGGGCCATTGACATTATGCACTAAAAGAATATTAATTTCATTGTGTAGATGTATATTACCAATGTCTTTTAAATCTTTAACCTTTCCCCTTTTCTAAAACCGGAAGTTTAGCTCAAACCTTTATAGAAATATATAATTCCAGTACTATGTTCATTATAATACTTGATTGTTGGTTCAATGTTGGAGGTTGGAAATTCATAAAATTTGCTTTTGTCCAGCAAAAACATCAACTATTAATTTTTGTTTTAAAGAGTAAAATGCTGTGTCTTAACCCAGATATACTGGTAATTAGTTCAAATTAAAATGGAACTTAGAATCACAAATAAAATATAATTAGACACTGATTTTATGAAAAAAAGAAAATGAGGTCTATTAAGCTTTATTAGGTCTTCTAAAGGTTAATGACAGTGATTCTTTTAATGGAAAAAGTTGTAAATGAAATAAAATATAAACTACATGGTAGAAATAGTTATTTGCAAAAAGTACACAAAAATATGCAAAAAAGAAAGAGACAAAGTACTTTAATTGTTATAGTATAATGTTCAACCAAAGATAATAGCTTGAGGCTGTTGATAGAAACAATTTAATAGAATGGGAATTTCAATATTTTTAAAAATAATGTTTCATAGTTTAAAAAGTAATCAGATCAATATAACCTTCTTAATTAACATTTCAAAATGATTAACATTATGTAATGTAATGAAAAAATAATTTATGGAAAATGTATTTACTTCACAATTCACTGTACCATTGCTCCTTGACCAAATTCAAATTAAATAGTAATTGGTTTATGTTGGTATGTGATAAGTACTTCATAGTTTTCTTTATAGTTAACAGATTGCCACACATTCTTTTCAGTATGTGGGCCACTGCACTGATTAAGAATGATCTAAACATTTAATTTATTGCAACTGCATGTTTTCAGAGGCACTTTTTGAATGTAGGGCAAATTATTCAATATACTTGTTTTTAATCTATATCTGTTATACATCACACTTTTAAGTATTAAAGCACCTCTACCCACATGGAGGCCAATTCCATGTGTGATATTGCTCCCCTTTTCTGGCTAGTGTAATAAAACCATTCCTTTTATAGCATGCCATTATTAGAAACCAATTTCAGAATTATTTATAACCTGGAATGGCTTATTAAGCAGCAATGCGAGAATCATGCAAATTACGCGATCAAATGCAATATAATAAGCATAATCATTAGTCTCTAGCACGGATTAATTAACTTTCAATATTTTATTTACATAAAAACCAAATCAGTGAAATAACTTCTGCACAGTCAGGCTTGCCTTTCAATATTTTATACGAACAAAAATAATGTGCTGTAATTCCACTGACCGTGTCCCCCAGAATGGCCCTGTCACCTGCCACATCTTAATAGGGGGACAAGCTGAGAGTATTTTCTAGTTTTCTAATGGAATGAGAAATTGCATTTTCTCCCTCTTCCAGCACTATTAAAGTGTAATGAATTCGGCCCAGAGTTCACGGCTGGCTGATCGAAATGAACCTGAGATCTAGGCTTTAATACAGCTCCCCAGATTTCCTCCCAAATCTTCACATTAATCATTTGCTGGATTCCAATGAGATCTTCATAAAGCTTTTGCTTTGAGGGGGGAGTAATATTCTTTCTTTCTCCCTCTCTTTCTCTATTTCTGAGCCATTTATAGTGGGGGAATTAAACGGGCTATATATTTTAAAATACATTTACAGTATGTCTATATTACTGTAACAGCAGATATCATCAAAGTGGATTTTTAGATTCCAACCTCCATTAGATTCTCACTGTTGTATTAAGCATTTTCCAAGAAAGGCTGCATTTCAAGCTGACTACAAAGTTGGTCTGTGGCTGCGGTTAATATAGTTCCTGGAGTTGTCATCCATGTGTTCTGAAAATCTCCCTTAGGTTTTGCCTGCATTTTAATCTGTCATGCTCTAGTTTTCATGTGGAAACATTCGCATTTTTAAAACATATGCATCATAGCTTGGAACAGAGGCGCTCAGATCTCATACAGATTTTTTTTTCCCCAACCCCAGTAAACCATGAAACATAAAAAAAGTGTAACCATCATTTGACTACTAACCCTCAAACATAATTGAGCACAATTTTTCGATTACTCCTATAATATTTAGTTCTTTCACAGATATTCTTTTCCGCTGGTGTCTGAGCATATCCCAGGTTCAGAAACCTTTTGGGCAGTGATGTTTGCTATTGAAATTCTACTGGACATTTTCTCCCCCTTTCTTCTGCTCCTCTCTCCACTCCTCCACCACCTCTTGGCCTCCAAACAACCCAGCATTTCAGGTTACACTGGCACCTGCAGTGTGCTAGGAACTGTTCTGGATTTTATAAGATACATTTCAAAATATAGCCAGTGCTGCATGGAAGACATGGGGACCATGTGGACACAAAGGTTTTCTGTTAAGGACCCCATTCTGTCCAACACCCCAGCACTGGGTAGGCACAGCAAAAGGGACTTGCGGGGAGGTTTATCTCTCCTCAGAAGGTCACTAACAGCTCAATCCCGCCACATTGATCTCATCCACCATCAAGGGCCCTGTTTGCCTCATTAATCCACCATGCCACTAGCTCTGGGGCTGCATCTAGAAAGACACAAGGCATATTTACCCACTGCTAATACTGGGGTGGGTAGCAATGCAGGAAATGGGGGTAGCAAGCAGAGAAAGATGAAGCATGGTGAGGGCGAGGGGAAGAGAGGAAGGCCAAGGCTGGCTCAGAGAGAATTCTGCTTTGCAATGCCTTTCACACTGGTAGGCAGAGCGTGTGTCCTGAACACAAGGCTGGCTTTCTGAGAAAGAAAGCAGGGATGTCTACACTCTGATGCTTTAGCTTGTAAACATTACTAGGTTAAGGGACACGAATCACTGTTTGGACTACAACTACAGTAGTCAAATTGCAGTCGACCAAATTCTAAGAGGAAACTCAATCAGTACCTGAGCTGTGTCCCACAGTATTTATATTTAGGCATAGTATGCCTTCAGTTTTAAACTGCAAGTCTGCCAAGTAAGCATGTTGGTGATTTTTTTCTCTTAAAGATCAAATTCGAATAGGTAGACATAGGTAGCTGTTTTGATGAGGCAACTTATTTTATATCTTCCAGACAACTCCTGTGTGGTAGTGAATCTGACATTTGTAGGTACATGGTCCTAGTAGCGTCTGAGTTTCCTGGGCCGGTGTTAAGGACGAAAGAGTAGGAGGCTTATTTTCATTTGGAGTATATTTTATCAAACACCTCTTCCTGAAAAAGGCATCTGGTGTTTAACCAAAATTAAATTTGTTTCCTAATTGTGTTTAAAAGTGTGTTTTAAACTTGGTCTCTTTTCATTTGTATTGGTCAGAAATTTTACTTTTAGGTTATAAACGAAAGTGGGAGGGCGACTTGTGAGTACTGGAGGCCTCCTTACCTGGTGGCCCCTAAATCACTGAAAGGAATAGGCTTGAAAGTACTCAGCAGCGGGCTGCAGCACAGGCGCCTAAGCCTAGACAAAGATGCCCTTGGATTGGGCGGGGAGTGGGTTAGGAGACTGTGGTAGCAGCACCGAGTGCTCTGGGAGGAATCAGAAGTCACGCCGGCGACCCAAGCAGCACAGTGGCTCCGTGCTGCTCACTCGCCCACACCGATCACTATATTAACCTCTCTGCTCTGTCAGCTGTGGTGTTAGGGTTTTCTTTGTTTTTGATTTTGAAACTGGTCATGTCACCCAGGGTCCTTCATCAATTTCCAAATTTCCAGCGTTTCTGAAAATTCTATACCCCATCAGTGTTATAAGACATGCTATTAAGCCACATGGGTACGCATGTTTATCTTCATTTGTATACCTGTGGACGGAGCCTTGACACATGTCTGCCTGCAGACCTGTGCATCTGTGCGGTGCACGGAACGCGGCGGTGTGCAGGGGCGTGGTAAACCCCGGGGCAGATCACCCGGGAGCGCGCAGGATGGGGCCGAGGAGCCGGTGAACTCGGATCTCAGGCTGGGTGGGGCCGCCGAGGGCCGGCCGAGGGCGCTGGCTCGACCTGGGGCTGACCACCTGCCTGGGACGCGGGTTTCTGGGGTCCCTGCCCCAGCCCCCCGAAGCTGCCAGGCCGCTAACAGCGCTCTGTCTTGTTCCCGCCCTGCCCGCTCCAGGTCTGGTTCCAGAACCGGCGCGCCAAGTGGAAGAAACGCAAGAAGACCACCAACGTGTTCCGCGCGCCCGGCACGCTGCTGCCCACGCCAGGCCTGCCTCAGTTTCCCTCCGCCGCGGCCGCCGCGGCCGCCGCCATGGGCGACAGCCTGTGCTCCTTCCACGCCAACGACACCCGCTGGGCGGCGGCCGCCATGCCGGGCGTGTCGCAGCTGCCGCTGCCGCCGGCGCTGGGCAGGCAGCAGGCCATGGCGCAGTCGCTGTCGCAGTGCAGCCTGGCGGCCGGGCCGCCGCCCAACTCCATGGGGCTGTCCAACAGCCTGGCGGGCTCCAACGGCGCCGGGCTGCAGTCGCACCTCTACCAGCCCGCCTTCCCGGGCATGGTGCCCGCCTCCCTCCCCGGCCCCAGCAACGTGTCGGGGTCGCCCCAGCTCTGCAGCTCCCCGGACAGCAGCGACGTGTGGCGGGGCACGAGCATCGCCTCTCTCCGCCGCAAGGCGCTAGAGCACACAGTCTCCATGAGCTTCACCTAATGCAGCGCGCCCCCGGCCCGCGCGCCCCACGCACCCCACGC